ATTCTCTCTTCTAGGCTACAATTGCATTCGAAATGATCGCCAAGATAGCCGTGGTGGGGGGCAGTTGCGTCTACGTTAAGCAAGCACTTAAATTTTTGCCGCATGACCTCCCGCATTTTTCCGCAGTAGAAGGCAGCTGCTGGCTCCAGGTTGCACTAAAATAACAAGTTCGCCTTACTCGTTGGCTGCGTCTATCGTCCTCCCAACGCCAACGACAATTTTGATCGTTTACTCTCACGGGCATTTCATGCTGCGGCCGACTCAAGCTTTAAGTATCAATTGGTTACGAGTGACTTTAATCCTCCCGAAGTCCGCTAGTCTCCGCCTTCAGGCCGCAGAAGGTTCGAAGACTTTCTTGAGGCTGTAGACGTTGGGATGTGGAATCAGGTTGTCGATTTTCCACCCGAGGCTCAAGAATACTTGACCTAATTTTCTATAGAGGCTGCATGCCATCGTCGGTGTCATCCCTAGGTCCACTCGGGGGCTCAGACCATGACATAGTTTTTTTCAAAGTTGGAATTCAAGGCTGACAAAACGTTGTCACCAAAGTATAAATTTTTCAGCGATTTCCGATCAACTCGCTCGACCGAATTGTTAACAAACGTTAATTCCTACGATGGACTGATTTCTTCATTAGTTCGGATGTAAATGTTTGCACTGCAAAACTGTACGAAATTCTGGATCCGCTTATTTCTCGTTTTGTCCCCCGTAAGAAAATTATTAATGTTGGGGATGAGGTTTTCCTACCCTTACCCTTTCGTCGCAGATTGCGCAAACTTTATCGTCGATTCCATCTTCAGAACGACGTTTCTGTCCTGCCCTTGATTTGTGATATTTTTGAGCGGGCTAAGAGATTGTCTGAAGAAAAAAAGCTAGCCAAAGAGGTCCAGTTTACCGAAAACCATTCGTCAAATGTCTCGAAACTTTTCTCTTGAAAAATACGAACATAGAGAAAGACGCAGCATCCCATCCTCAGAGACGTTCTCGGAAATCCCATAGTTGATGCCCAGTTAACCGCTGATAGCGTCAATGATTTCCCGTCCAAAACGTTTATTGAAGACTCGACCACTCCACTTCCGACAGTCCAGGCATTGACCGGGGCAGTTCTGGAAACGATAACTTTCACTCTGTGGGACGTGACTGTTGCAATTCGGCGTTTTCGTCAATCTTATAGTCCAGGCCCTGATGGTGTCCCAGTAAACATTTTAAAAGCCGATGCAAACACGATTTTCCCATCCCTCTTATGCAAGATATTTAATCTCGCTCTTGAAAGTGAAACTTATTCTACCCTGTGGAAGGAATTAAACATTTTGCCCATTCCTAAGCACGGCAAGTGTACGTCATTCAATGACCTTCGGCCAATAAACACCCTCCCCGCAGTTTCGAAGATCTTAGAGACCTTGATCAAACATAAGATGATGTGTCACTTAACAGAGAGTAACCTACTGATTGTTGCTCAGCATGGATTCCTGAAAGCGCGGTCTTGAGACACCTGTCAATTCTCTTTCATTGACTATGTTCTTCAATCTAGGAACAATGGTTTTGCACTTTACACAGTATATTTCGATTTCACTAAGGCTTTCGGTCGTGTTGACTATGCTCTTCTTCTCTTGAAACTGTCCTGTTTCGGAATAGGTGGCAGATTATTTCAGTTTATTTGATAAGGATGATAGGCAAAGCCTTTGAAAACCCTATTGATTACATGTCAGCTCGTTAGAAACAACTGTACAGGAACAATGAATATATCCGCTATTTAAACAGTACTTTAAAACTTTTAAATTTTATATCCTCTTACCTGGGCACTCGTACACGAGCTAAGATTTCCAATGCTATCTCCAACATTACACGTGTGAGGAGTGGAGTCATTCAGGGTAATGTACTCGGCCCTCTTTTATTTTACGTTTTCGTTAATGATGTACCCGATTTATTTCAGAATAGTAGGCCTTTCATGTATGCCGATGATCTTAAAGTCGCATATCGATATACGCCGGCAGATCGTGACACCGTGCTTGAGCTCCTAAAGTGCGATCTACAGACTTCCACTCAGTGGTGTCGCAAATGGCGCCTATCTCTTTCTTGGCATAAATGCTCAGTCATGGTAATTGGCGACGACCGCCAACCTCAGCTAAGTGATGACGGTCACGCCAGAAATGTGCCTGGGGTCATTAAGGATCTGGGCGTATCATACTCCAAGAGTCTCAATCTCTCGGAGCACTGTGCCTTGATAGTCTCCAAAGCACGTAGAACGACCGGGTTTATCCTCCGAAACTTTAAAACTAGGGACATTAGAATGCGCCTTTTCAACATGTACGCTAGACATGGTCTGGAATACGGTTCGTTTTTCTTTAGCCTCATGCGTGCTCCTGAGCGGAATAAAATAGAATCCGTTCAACACTTTTTACCAAGAGAATTTTAAGCCCGGAACACCGGCATTTGTCTTACCAAGAACGTTGCCGGCTTACGGGCCTTGATCCTTTATGGCTCCGTAGATTACAAAAGGGACTATTTTTGCTATTTAAACTCTTATATAATCACACATTTAACCCACTCACCTCTTTAAGGCATCATATCCACCCACGACATAACAGTCACCGTGAGGTATTCTTATTTCTTCCTCTGGCACGTGCTGTTAAATATCGTCGGTTCTTTTCTGTAAATATAATTGCTATTTGGAATAAACTACCCATGATTGCGAAAAATATGCAAAATTATCCCTTATTTGAGAGAACTATTACTCGATTTTTGCGTTCAGAAAAGCTCCCATTAATTTTGGGAGCTGAATCGACTGATCGACTGTACCGTAGCGATGGCGTTTGTGGTCTCTGAACGCTGTGGCCGGTCTCACCATGGACAATTTCTTTGGTCAACAGCGACAGCTGTTCTTCGGTGCCTCTATTTTGACTATCCCCAACCTCATGAAAGGCATCGGCGTCTGATAATCTCCGATACCATGCAGTCCCTCCATTCTTGACAGTCAAAAGTTTGTCGCCAGCAGTTTTTTTGTCCAGAACCCTCCCAACAATAAAAACCAACTATATTTTTATTTCTTTCTCACAGGAGTTTTTTCACTGTCGGCCGGATTTGTGTTTAACGTTTCCCTGACAATGCCTATAAACTGGGGTTAAATAAAATAATTATTATTATTATTATGATACACCCAGATCTATCTATCTATCTATACACCCAGATCCTTAATAACCCCAGGCACATTTATGGCGTGACCTTCAATACTTAGTTGAGGTTGGCGGTCGTCACCAACTACCATGATTGAGCATTTATGCCAAGAAATAGAAAGGCACCATGTGCGACACCATTAGTCAAAGGCCTGTAGATTGGTCTTCAGGAGCTGAAGCACGATGTCACAATCTGCCGGCTTATACCTGTACGCAACTTTAAGATCATCGGCATACATTAAAGGCTTTCCATTCTGAAATAAATCGGGTACATCAAGAACGAAAAGGCAAAATAAAAGCGGGCCGAGTATATTAACCTGAATGACTCCACTCCTCTCACGTGTAAGGTTGAAGATAGCATTGGAAATCTTAACTCATCGTGTACGAGCGCCCAGGCAAGAGGATATAAAATTCAGAAGTTTACCATCGTCATTCCCATCTACGAGACCACTAAACTCACCGTCCACGGGGCCTCTTCTTCTGACGCTTCCCGTCCTGGACATTGAACCTGAGAATCTATGTCGGTAGCCCATTGCCAAATACCCTGGTCACACCCGTCCCAACTTCAGCATTTCTACCTCACCACCCGATGTTGCTCATCAAATCTGGATCATAGACCCTTCCGTGTTTCCTCGACCCGGCACTCGCACCTCCCTGTCTTGATGTCGCCAAGGCCGAGTACGAGCGCATGCTTCAGATGGCCACTATCCGTCGGTTTGAAAGCCCATGGGCCTCGCCCCTGCACATGGTTCAAAGGTCAGTCATTGGTGACTAGCACCCCTGCGGTGATTGCAAAGCCTTGAATAACGTAGCCATCCCGGACAGCTACCTTGTCCAACATTATAAGGATTCTGCTGTTCTGGAAGCCAACTAGGTCTGTGCCTTCCACCAGGTGCGTATCAACCCGGTACAAGGATTTCTCCCAACTCGCCACTATAACCAACCTCCGGACATACTTTCAAGCCATGCGTGCTCCAAGGAAGACTGGGTGTAAGAAGACACTTTTTTCATAGACCACCTAGTGGAAAAACCTGCCGCAGCAGACGTTATGCTTCAGACCGTGGAGACATCCAAACATTGCCTCGACAGATACATGCTGCAGCAACAAGCCAACACATGACCATACTACCCTTAGGACAAATGTACTTATGTGGAACTAAGTTTGCGTTTACTTGACACTAATTTATTTACATAATTGACAAGTCTTTCGCCTTGCACGCGTAAGCTTATTTCACTCAAATGCTCTAAGCACTGAGTTAAGGTCGGATCAAAACCCAGCTCTAAACAGTTTACTGGAAAATCGAAACAGTTCTCAGATCAGCGCCGAAGTCTTAACTGATGGCAAAATGGTTTGCATCAATCTCACGAAATCCGCCTTTGCGGAACGTCCTTCATCGGGTATCCATGAGCCCGGCTGGAGCAAGACCGGACTTAAGGAATAAAGCAGCACGTCCTGAATGTGGTAGACAAGCATCCAGGACATAGTCCAAAGTTCCACAAGCGTTGCAATGCAAGCCCAGCATAAGCGACTGCTGTTCGTGTCTGCAATAAATGCTTTATACATCAAGACAGGCAGCTATGCGTATCGCTACTGCATGTCATCTTTTGGTAGTTTACAGAGACAGATCTTGGGTAGGTAAAACTGTTCTGAATCACTTACGAAAACAAGGCCCCCACTGACCCCACCAGAAATTCTAGCTGTTTTTGGTGAAAGAAAAGAGTAAACAGTCAATTTTAAACTGTAACGTAGTGGAAAACACTCCAGGTACTGAAAATTTAAAATTGCCCTGAGGATTTGGACTTCCTGGGGCGAATAAATCGTCAAGTCTAGTCATAAACAGTGCGGAAATTAGATAGTAAGTTTTGTGACGGCAGTGGGACACCGTGTGCATCTTCCTTAAGAAAGGATGCTGACTGGCTTAAGAGCGCCTTTGCTAACGTCCGCAGTTCTAACGCATCGTGGTTGGCCGTTTCGACGGAGGCCGTCAAGTGGTAAAATGTCTTTACAACCTTGAGTGCAGATGGTAGAGCATTCTGGAAGTCGAAGTTTTTGAGTGCAGAGTTCCGGCCTGCAAAGGCAACTCCAACAGCCGACACATCCCCCGCCGCCTTCTTATCCTGTCCCGGTGCCATCTCTGTAGAAAAACACAACGATGTTGAAGGCTTAACACGACCAAAGATTAAAGGACCAGCATTGGAAGCAGCAACTGCCTGGGAGAACACATTCTTTAGATGATCCTCAAGGATGACTGCATTGGGAGGCCCGGATAGAGCGGTCGCTAGTGTGCATAAACATTTGTTGGCACTCTGGAAGTTACTGACGGCAAGGGCCTTGAGGCTGTAGATTGCTGCGCGCAGAACGAGAAGAGAGCAGATAAAGAGACAGGCAGTACGATGTTGGGACTCGTTGCGATTCAGTCCATTGATGGCAGCGTCGCATTCCTCGAAGGTTCGTTTCGAGAGGTCGGTGCTTAGGAGGGCAGTTATAGAAGTCATGATCTGGTCACAGAAGGGCAGGGCAGGAAAGGCTTGCTGTTCTGGGGCGTTGTTGCTGTTCACAGACTCAGCGAGGCCGCCATCCAGGGTGTCTCCAAAAAGGAGAAACAAAGAGAGTGCTGCATGGACCTTTACCTGCGGGGTAAAAATTGAACATCGCTCGAACAAGACAAGATGATAGAATGCACTTGTATTGTACACGAGCCATAAAACAATGCCGAGTAGCGTTAACAAAAACATAAGGAGCTGCAATGACCATTTCTGGTGTATATATGATCTTCCTTTCGGAAAGCTGGATGGTCAGTGGTTGTGTAGGGCGAATTGCGAGAAGGTGATTTCAAGTAGTACGTGGATTATAAGGCGAGTTTTTCCGATCATTGCCAAAGCGCCATGGTCTAAGATGAATAGACTACGAATTTTTAAACTTCTTATCAGCATTAATGGCGAAATTAAGAACTCGAATGGGAGCGACCAAAAAGTTATCATATCCAGCACGAACATAAATTATGGAAACTGATCTGCTAATCTTCTTGGCCTTACAACTACATGCCCTGTTCGCCTACGATCTGTCTGTAGTCATTTCTGATTATGAGTTCGAAGAGTCCAGCGAGTGAAATCAATGTCTCCTGTAATCCTGCATCTTTCTACTCAAGTGGCGAGACGTTCAAGGCTTATTTCGGACGGCAGGTGTTGGGCAGACCAAATTTGTGTAAGAACTGAAGGTTTATTATGGCGCCTGCTGGGCATGTCAGTCTCCTTAGAAAACAGAGAAGAATCTAAAACAAACCCATCCCTTTTGGTCGCACTTTGACTACACCCGTTTTGTGTATCTGCTCAGTCAGTAATGCGCGAGTTTAAACTTTGTCTTAGGTTAGAAAACTAGAATCTCAAAACATAATAATAACAAAAGTCTGAAATGAACATATAAGGCCTAGGGATTTAAATTCCATGTTTAATAGTTTTTTGGGTTACGAATATTTAGCCTTCTGTGGAATTTGAGAAGCCTTCAGTCCGGCCAGAGGTTGAATTAGCTGCAAGTTGATCAATTTGGATTTTTTCTAGTTGCCAGACTCCAGTTATTTGACAGTTGCTCAAATCTAATCGCATTGCTTATTCGTGTTACCCGGATGGCTACTCATAATTACCTGGACTAAAGGCTGAGAAAAGATGGATACGGATCAAGAGCATAAAAAGTCTCAGTGGTAAGTATCAACTAAAGGAGTTAAGATACTTTTATAAGGGGTATCATGTTGTTGCTGATAATATGACACTGTAGATGAATTGATCGATTGCTCCATGTGATATTAAATAGTGTTGATATAGTTTTACAGGCAGTTAATATGCACAGCTTCGTCAAAAGGCACATTAGATACCGGGCGGATATAATACTACCAGCCCTCAGAAGTGTCAGTAAGCGAAACCGTCCGAAGCGTCAGAAAGTAGGCAATAGAAAAGCCAACTCGCCTTGAAGTACGGGTCCACAAGGAGGGCTTTGCAGAGGGCAGAAACAAGGGAGAAAAGGGCGTTCTCTCCTGGAAGCTGTTGCTGGGGCATCATGCGTGCGAGCCACTGGCTACCCAAAACTTTGGAGGTTGCGAGAGCGGCATTCCAGCGAACTTTCTCAGCACCACTAATTGCTGTTACGTGGAGGCACGCCGAGAAAGTCTGAAAGGAGAGATCAATAAAAGTAAATCGTTTTGTCAGGGATGCGATGTAAGAGAACGTACTTTGCAACACGACCCCAGGAGTGATCCTGTTAAGTAAGAGAAAATAAAACGTGGCAATGGTTGAAATGTCACCGTCCTCAACGATCGAATCAAGAGCCTTGAAACAAGGAACGACATAAGGGCATCTTGAACAGAATTGACGTTACATAAAACGATGGTTCGTCTATGCTTCTTAACACGTATCGTCAGTGTCTCAATAGCTAATTGTGAATTGCCAATGGTTTGGGTTATGTCGAAGGAACTTACAAGGCACCGGACGCACGCTACTTGCAAAAATCCCTTGGTTTAAACGCCGTGACAACGAGAGATGGGCGCTTATGCGGGTAACACCTACATGAAGCACAATCCGGAGAACCGGATTTCGACAATTCAGAACTCGTATTGATGAGTTACCATAGAAATAAAGTGAAGCAGCCTGATCTGACTTTTGGTTCGGGGATTCGTGTTTTGATAATTGGCTATCCTACAAATCAGCTTTAAAGCTCGTCGGGATTTTATGGACGCCATCTCTCTTTTTTTTCACACATCGAAAGCCTGTGAAAGTTACGGGTCAATGGAGCAGAAAAGTAGATCGGAACAGTTGTTGACCCAACATAAAGCCGCTGCCTCACAAGTGAAGTACACACTACTGACTTCCCGTGCAGACCTGAAGCAGCAGCGCTGCTAAATTCTGTGGGCCCAGAAAAACAAACAAACGGGTAACGACATACATAATAATCAAAAGAAACGACTTAGACGAATTCAAGGATGACTCGCCCAAATAGTATGCGCAAACCTGAAAAACTGCAATAAGAACGTCATCTGGAGCCCTTTGAATTTGATTATTAGACATCAGTTCCAGAAGGTTGGCGAGGCTATGAACGCTGTGCTCACATCGCCTGGCATCAGAATTGCAGCAACCATCTGTCTGAAAATCCAGACTATCAGTCATCTTGCTGTGTCCCTTGCCCTTCTGTTTCACAGCCAACGTTTCGGACGTTGGGCAAGAACAGAGAGACCTAGCAGAGGAAATCAATAAACGAACCAACTTACAGACATATCTGTACAAGAGACATGATATCCCAATCGATGTTCAAACGCCCTTGAGAGCCTAGCGCTTTGACTGTTGCAAGCTCAATGCAGTAAGCAACATCTGTCCCAGTCAAGGGCGGTAGGTTAGCAGAAATACCAATGAGAAAATCCATGGAAGCTGAAAGGAGACATTCAGCAACATCGCAATTTCTAAAGCAAAAATCATCATGTAGGACCGACTTACTGATTGACGACTATCCCAAACAGGGTTCTTAGTGCCTTTGCTTGGATCCCTCCAGAACGAAAAGTAGAAATACGTTTTAAAAACGCAATTGCCGGCTTAAGAACGCCTGACCCGAAGTAAGTGGTTCGGGAAACAAACAGGGTCTCGAAAAAGATTCCAAAAACCTGACAGGACCACCAGCACTCGGAGGCCTCCGAGTTGATCTGAAAATCGAATAATAAACAAGTGACTAACAAGATGAAAGTCCGCCATGAAAAACAATCCTTTTCAAAAACTACCCCAATGTACAAACATGAAGGCTGTCTGACAAAATTCGCAAATGCTCTTGTTATAATAAATTCGCAGAGACAGTGTGAGACGCCTGACTCGAGCGAGTCCTGCCCACTAGAGTTAGAAGATGGGACTAAATATTTTGTGAACAAGTGTGCTACTTCCGGTTGCCTATTTATCGAAAACCCTCATTCCATGAATTTCAGCTATGCAGTCAAGAGGCCTGAGCACAAAACAGGCCGCGTTGGCGAAGTATTCGTCCCCTGTGTTGCTAGTAAAACACAACCGTTGTTTCATAACAACAAACGAATCGGATGTCACGCACTAGAATATTGGCTGGGGGAAATCCAAAGACCTCATTAGAAAGGCACGAACGCAGTCCGACTCTTTGACTCAGAGAACAAATATCCTGCCAAGCAGCAAAAGCATAATATTAGAGATGCTCTGATGGATTAACTTAGCCTCGGTTACGCAGCATAAAAGACGGGACATTATGAGACCCACGCTTCAATCCACAACCTGAGGCCCATCTGAAAAGGTACAATATACTAAATAGGGCGTTATGATTACAATACCATGCAGAAAAATAAATTAACTGAAAGAAAAACCCCGCAAATGATTGGAAAGGGACGTCGTTAAGACATTTGCTAAGATTGTATGATTAGTCCAAAACTTGCTGAACACAACTTATTTCGAGCACCGCAGAAAACATCACATGGAGGCACAGACAGACAGGCGCAGATTCGCCACACATTCATGGCGCATTTATCGTTAAAATTCAGTTCAGTTTGCGATATGCGATTAAATTAAATTGTGTGCTACCGTAAGGACATCTCACCTCTTAGACACGTCGGGCCAAAATTAAGAGATACGAGGAGCAATTCCACATAACGGACTAATGAACAATGAAATTATGCTATGATCTTCTAAATTTGAAATGTACATGATCAAAATAGATACATAATCTTAATTGCTTTGGTTCCGAATACTTAAAGGCGATAGGTAATGCACGCAAACCGTTACAATGTTTTACCTCCGAAACATAGGGCGGTTACCTAGAATACTAAATTCAGGTAGTTAACATTCCCAAAGTATAATGCCGAGAACATCTAGACAATAAAAGACGACCCCGGTCAGCTCTTCAAGAGAATGTTCGAGAGGAAGACTTTCATGAACGGCGCAGACTAGCTTTGCAGGCAAGACCACCTAGATGCACCTAATTATGCCCAAAATAAAGTGGCCTGTTGGCACAGTTACGATTTTTGGCACGGCAATAATGACAGTAACGCAGTCGAGTCCCTAAAAGAATCTACTCATGTGCCTATATCAGGCTCAGAGTGGAGACCGCAGGTTTGTTTTAACCCATCAAGAGGGGTATTAAAAAACAAAGACTAACAACGCGCGAGACATGACTGCGCGGGGGTGCCGGGGTTGTCCGTAACAAGTCGTGGTAGCTACCGCATCTCTTAAAGTTGGAGGAAACGACATAGAGCAGCATAATTAGTAAGCAAAATAATATGCAGTTTTCTCTGAAACTTAAGGTTCATATTTTGGAAAGTTATCTGCGTCGCCATCCTAATTCTTAGTGAAGTTTATGGCTAAGGAAGCAGGTCAAAAAAATTCCCTATCTGGCAAAGTTGTCGAGGTTAGCCCCATTTATGTTCGTGTCGCGCGAAATGTACCGCTTCATCTGCACATCGAGACGGAGGGCGCGGAAAAACCCAGCGATAAGCCTCAGAGAGAAATCACAAATGCAAACACCAATAACAAGTCTTCCTCAAGCGGATTTACTCAAAACGTGCCATGGATACCGCCGCCTGGGAAAACGTCAGCGGGCACGTGTTTTTTGTTTTCACATTACCCATGTGATCTGTTTTAAAAATTATTTCTGAAGACTTTCGAAATTTTACTCCGCACAATTTACTGCAGTTGCATCGCATGAAATTCTTCCCTTGTCGTTTTTGAAACAATTGAATATGTTTATTTGAAGGACGCAGGCCTCCTTGCGCTAATGATGATGGCAATCGACGATGTCTAAGTCAAGAAAGTCCGCGAATACGTTTTCATTCTTCGGTGCCAGCCAGCGACAGTAACATTGTGAGTCGTATTCCTTCAAAATTCCTCTCACATTGATCTTTGAAATGCTGCTTTAGCAGGAAAATTACCAATTAGCTCGTACGAACGTTGAACACGTATGTAATCAGTCTGTGCCTTTCCTTTCACAGTTGCATAGGTGCCCCACTGCAAGTAACCGAGACGATGAATGCACTGATGTTCCAGGGGCGGATGTGGCTCAGAGAGATAACACGAGGGTTTGCACATGGAATACCAAGAACGCACCGTTGACATCTCGTTTCCGTCAACAGGTGGACGACGTTCCAATTCCCGACTCTGGAGCACAGCGCTGGGCGACAACACGCGAGTGGTTACGTGAAATAGATCGCTCTGTCGATCGACTGTCTACGTGTATCAGAGATATTCTTCAGGCACGACACAAAGTGAGTTCGTCTGTAGTTGGGCAATCTTGTGTTTTAACCTTTAAAAGTTTGCGTAAACTACATGCGTAAATGTTACTCTCTTCACGCGACTATGAAGAACATTGTTGAAATCTTTAATTACGGGGCCTGTAGTTGATCCTGCAGCGCGGAAGTATCAGGGAAATGACAACACTTTTTACCAACCAACATTACTAGTACCATTATATTAGTATACTATATTAGAGAACTTACAGTCACAAATTAAGCTAAACGACGGGGCGGCTTAAGCACGCTGCTAATCGAAGTCACACGACGGAGATAAGCAAAAGCCCGCAGGAAAGATATTTGACGTGTTGCATGCATGACTTTACAATGTCCCATACAGTCACTTTAGAGGTCGCCCTATAAGATGGTTGCAAACTGTACGATAACCGCTGAAAATGGCTTACTTCGGTTCGACTTCAAAGAAAGCATCAAGAGTAAATAAAAATAAAAATAAAATAAAAATAACATCTGAGACCCAGACTTGGTGGAATTAACAAACAACTCAAGATAAACCTCTGTAAACGTCGTAACTAATATTTTGACTTTCATCGGAATGAATACAGTTCTTATGAGCGCTAGGCACATCGTTTCCTTTCTTTGTTTTTCATTGCTGACAGTGCCTCTGCGAAAGAAAAACCACCGAATGTGGTGAAAACGCCTACGAGACTGTGCTCACCCAGTCCGAAGTCCTCAGAAGAGCCGCGCAGGAGTTGGCAGCACGCTACAGTAAACTCGTGGCCGAGAACGACTTAAACAATCGAGAGATTGACGTGCGCGAAGCAAAACATCGTACCGAAGTCAAGATACTTCAAACGGAGCTTGAAAAAGCAAGTATGCTGCCTAATCTGCTGCAATACAGCTTGATGATGCAATCAGTGAAAATCAGGAACGAAATAATATAAAGACACACCAAAATCGTTGAGAGGGTAAAAACTGGCTATGTGGTTGTCTGACGAGATCACCGGTCAGAAAGTCATAATAAATGGGTGTATATGGATGCAATACAACTCAAAAAGTCCACGCTGTGGTTTCCGAGTCGCCCCTCTATACTAAAACTAACAATGATTGCCGTGGCCATAAACGTGTGTTAAAGGCTAATGAAGGTGATTAATTTCCGTCAGGTTTTACAAATTGTAGGACGGATGCAAAGACTAGCCAGTGTGATGAGGCATATATGACACCGACGTGAGACCTGAGTGGCGGTTCTAGCTACTGCTGTAAGAAGAGGAGAGTTGAATCTGAAAGCAGAGGCACATAACTTAGGTGGCTTGTGGCAAGCACGAATATATGTTGGGTCGCAACTCCTACTAAACGATATGAGTGGTCAAGTTTTAGCGGAAAGGCGCTTAATGCATAGGCCCCCGAATGGACAAGAGGCTGAACCACAGCGATAATACAGTGTGTGCAGAGCATCTATAATCGCCCTTTAACTGTGAGTATTGGTGATAGAAACCGAAATTCACAAAAATGGCTCGTTATGAACCCTGCCAGATATGATATGGCGCTAAGTTGCTGCGAAATTCTACCCTTAGTCCCTGACTGAGAGTCCAGGCCTACGACCCTACTTCAGTCTTTTACGTTTTTTCATTAACTTTAGTAACTTATTTAGACCGAAACAGTTGGCCTAACTAGGAAGAGAAATGAACAGCAAAACATTCTTTGATGCATACGCTTGCCTCACGAAGCCTCTATTTGTAAACCGATGAAATTAGGCACGACTGTGGACTAAAGACCGCTATATGGAGTCTACGGCGACACAGGCGTTTTTGTAGGTGATGCAGCTAACCCTCTCCTTCATTTTTTTTCTGTTTGAGATGTTGAACTAAATCATGCGAAGGAGGAGCTGAGTAGCTGCCAACAGGAGATTAAACGACTGAACAGCGTCCATTCCTCACTCGAGTCCCTCAAGGGTCACCTGCAGTTGCAGCTGAAGCACCGTGAATCTGAATGCAGTCGGTAAGTCGGCCCCAAAGCAGCAAAATATCAGCCCCAGGTGCGAGTTGCGCCCTTTGTATCTTTCAGGAGGTACCAGGCATTGGGGTAAATTGGACAATTTCACAATAAAAATGCAGACGCCACAAATGCAGGCGGTGGTTTCAGTACGTCCATGGCGACTTTATTCTACGGAGTTTATTTATGCATTTTTCCATCTCTGTCTACAGCTGCAGAGTATTGATGCTGTGACGAATGACATCCCTTATGTAGTAAGCTCGGTACGTCTGAGTGCATCGACCTGTTTGGCAAACAGTTGCAACTAGACACCAGAGAATCGTTATAAATTAGTCTTGAGGCCGGCCGTTGGAAACGGTGCCTCCAAATGTATGCTTAGGAGACTTCTAGATTGAATTATCCGGCGGTACTCATAAGAAGACAAGTTTGCGGATAATGCACTTGCTTGGGTAACTCGTTTGCTTTATGTCAATCATTGGCAGTCATGTTAACTAACGGGTGCTAAATACTGAAGCAACCCGTAAACGCGGTCGTACAACCGGACTTACAGGTAACTATATAAAGGTACGACAAAGAAAATCTTAAAAGAGGAACTTCGCAGAGAAACCAGACAGGGTCGGTAATGCCGGCAAAAAATTAGTGCGCAACTGCGCAGGCTGACTATTCCTAAATTTACAAAAATCGAGTCGGGAAGTGGCACTCTTTCAACCCAATGAAGCACGTCTTTTGACTAGAGGCGGCTAGAACTATTTTCCGCATGTGAAGTAGTTGGAGACTATTTAGGCCGACCATTTAGGCAGAACATCACCAAAACGGACCAGGGAGACTGTAATGGCCATTTCTGGCTTATTAGGCGTCATGAGCCAGCCATACCTAACCCGACTAATGAGCCTCTTCTATTAAGGATAGGGATTACTGGCTTATCTGCCGTTATGAGCCGGCCAAACTCCAACCTCGGGTCGGAACAAAGTCGGACTTGACTCAGGACCTAGTGGGTCATCACGTCACGGGCTGCGGTCAGAAGCATTCGTAGATGTGGGCCTTACTGATTTATCCTGACTGCCCGACAGATATGCTCCCCCCCTCCCTTTTTTTACAGACTCGGCACACAGCTTCGAAAAGCTGACGATAAACGTTCCCGCGAGCTGGAGGAGACGAGGGCCATGGTGGAGCACGCCCAGTCCGCGCTCGACCTGATGCGAACCAAGAAGGAGACGGTGAAGCGGGCAGCGAGGGCTCAGAAGCGTCGGGCAGAGCGCGCGGAAAACCGGCTGGCGGAGATCGAACGCGAACTCTCCACCCGGGACAGTATGCTTGCGGAGTTGAGGGTAAGTACCGGCGTGTGCAATAGGGTCCCAAAGAGGGCGGTACTGTTGCACGACAACCGAGGGCGTGTGTGGATGCGGGCGGGAGATTCCTGTTCCATTGCTCCGCCCGACATTATCACCGGAATCCCAGTGCAGGCGGAGGGGCGGGATGGAACCGAGTCGGAGTGATGTTCTGTCGCCATAGTAAATTTGACCCGTCCTGAAGCAATGGTGGCGCCTAAAAGTCGTAGCTTTAGATATTGCGGCCTTACAATATGTGCCGCCAAAATGATTGCCAACTAGTGAGAACAGACCGAGAGAGGGATGCTGTGCTACCTACTCTTAATGTTTCATTCATAGGAAATTTCGCGAGGGCAAACGCCTAACGATCCAATAACTCTCTACACTACCGTCTTTGCAGACCCACTGGATTTTCCAGGGAAGGTATCACGCAAAATCTGTTTGAAACTAACCACCCAGCATGCCTTCTCGGAAATCCCAGCCGTAAATGAGTGAAACGGCTGGGGCCCCAAAAGTCGCCGGAACACTGACCAGGCCGCAGAAATAGTCAAACATGGTCTTAGCACCCCGCTAACAGGGCACGCACCAAATCCCTCTCACGGCGTTTTATTATCCCCCTGCAGCGGCTCTTACCTAAAATGAGTGGAATTATTGATGTTTGTGGAAGTTTTAATTGCAAGGTGGAGTCGTCTGTGCATTACACCAACTCTAGTAGTGGAGCCACGCATTAAACTTACGTACCACTTCTTCGACTTTGACTGCGTGAGATGAAGGCGGATGTTCGAATTCCAGGTGTCAGTATGAGTAAAGAGATGACCGGTCGAGCACCGCACCCATTTGTTGAATTGTCTGGGTTGTCGAACTCGCGTAGAAGTTCACCATCAAAGACAGTAGCAGCAACAGAAAAGGTGACAGTTTTGGGGGTACTAGCCAATAAACGATCAATAATGCAGGTTTGGTGACTGCACAGGGCTACATATGCCAGCGCCAACATTTCGGGGGGTGCGATGGCAGACCAAGTTTCCGGCTGGGACTCCTATCGCCCCCTCCCCCATGGTTGTTACTCATCAAAATACTGGTCATTTGCAGTGTAAACCAGGGGTGTGGAGTGGAACGCCAAGGTACGGGTTCGGCCGTGCCATCCATCTGCATTCTCCCCGGCCTCCGGTCTTCTTGGCCGTCTTAGCACCGGGTCCCGGTGGGGGAGGAGAGAGTGCGGTAGATGCTGTGCGAGTCTACTACTACTACTACTACTACTACTACCACTACTACTACTACTACTACTACTACTACTACTACTACTACTACTACTACTACTACTACTACTACTACTACTACTACTACTACTACTACTACTACTACTACTACTACTACTACTACTACTACTACTACTACTACTACTACTACTACTACTACTACTACTATATACTAGCTCACGCACAAGTCCCCGTCCCTGCTTCACCTTGCTGTGCAGCACCCAGTGGACATTGTTGGATGCGACGGTCTAACTGCCGATGTGCGACCCGGGGGCGTTTCTGTCTGACCTGTATAATTACAAGGGCAGTTGGGGCACGAGATGCGATACCTTACGTTTAACAGATCCCTCGGATCTAATCAGTCTCTGATTTTTGTGTTCTTACTATGCAAGACAGCTTCTGGCCGGTAGGCACTTCCAACCGAATTCTGCAGCAATGCGCTCGGTTGTCTCTGAAACATCTCTCATATCATTGGTGATGCTTCTGGTGGAGTCCTCCGAGGGCAAACACGTGGGCATCGGCTTGTAAGCGTCCTTGACCATCCATTCCGCATAAATTGGCCGCGGAGGTGCCGGGCGTCACGCTTGAAGCGTGTTTTCACATAGCTTCGCTTGTGTGCCACCGGATAGTTGCTGTGAAAACTGAGAAGTTGTGTGGTGTTCGTTGCCTTCCTACAAGCTGTCGGCTTTAGTTCGCCGTTGTGACTTCGCCTGGCGAGCACATCAGGGAAGGGCAGTTGCTGCTGATCTATTTCTCTCTGCCTCGTGTATTGTATATAATTCCTTCTCATAGTCTGATATCTTCTGACAGCATACTGCAGTTTGAAATCATGAGTGGCATTCCCGACGTTGTCCCGACCGCAGATCGCATTGGCACTCAATGTTGCTTTGTAGCCTAGATTCTAGAGAAGTCCACGCAGGCGGCCCCACGGTGATTTGTGGTGTATTTGAGCAGCTCAGTTGGAAGCAGATCAGCACAGCTTAGCCTTCAATCAGGCTCTGGGTCAATGCCGGTAGTAGTGGTAGTAGTAGTAGTAGTAGTAGTAGTAGTAGTAGTGGTAGTAGTAGTAGTAGTAGTTAGTAGTAGTTAGTAGTAGTCAGTAGTAGTTAGTAGTAGTGGTAGTAGTAGTAGTAGTAGTAGTAGTAGTAGTAGTAGTAGTAGTAGTAGTAGTAGTAGTAGTAGCAGTAGTAGTAGTAGTGGTAGTTAGTTGTGATGGTGGACATGGCCACGCATTTTCACCATTCCTCGTTTGGCATTTATTCTCCTCTCCCCAGCCCTATCATCCATCTCTTTGCGCTTTAGCGAGAACTGGACAACGAGCGGACGAGAGCATACCGGATGGAAAGGACCCGAAGTCGACAGCGGGAGGACATGAGAGCGCAGGAGGAGGAAGAGCGTGAAGAGAAGCGACAGTTGCAGTATCTGCGCGAGAGACTGGAGGAAATGGACCAGAAAACGCGAGAGACTGAGGAAATTGTACGCCTACAGCTCGCCACCGCACCTGCCCAGCGTGAGGCGATCTCCGGCCGATCAAGTGGCCAGGTTACAGAACACTTGCGAGACGTATACTTGCGTTCGTTTAAAGGCTACATATATGCGCACATATGTAGAATCAAGAGAGTAGCGTTAACCAATCTGATCCGAGTACGGAAGGCTTTCATTTCGGCCTGTGGGCTCCACTCAAAGCTTTATGAGATGGTAGCAAATTGGCGAGCAATCGGCAATCTATAAGTTTTGAGCAGGAAGTCTAGGGGAGCTAAGATGACAATTTATAGCCTAGTTACGGTTGTTATCCAGCCATGCCCCAAAACCAGATACCGAGATGACCTGAGATTTCAGTCTCGGTTCAGTTAGTCATTCGATTTAATGCTTTATTGGCTTAAATACGAGCTCTCGCGCCGTCAGCTGTGGTCCCAGGCATTCAAAGCCATGCGAAAGCGGTTGGTTGGCGACGGCAAATAAGCCAAAATGGTTCATCCATGCTTGTTCGTTTTTGTCCGTAATGCTTCTCGAGCGCATTCAAGATGTGCAAGTAAAGCAACTTACGGATTAGTACGGACCCCGGTATCAACAAATCACCGTTGCAGTGACGGTAATGACGGCCTGTGAGCTTTTCTCATTCAAGCTTTGCTCTTAAGACTTTACAAATAAATGACAAATTTCTGTTCAAAGGGCGTTCATCGATCACTCCTTTGTGTCTTTGGGATCAATCTAGAGTATAGTGGCATAGTGGCATAGAGTGCATAGTGGCTAGTATTCATGCAGGATAGTTGATATCCGCGATCTCAACCTACAAGATAACGAGCCCCTGACTCAGTGGTAGAGCACTGAACTTGTTGCTTGATATCCAAAATATTCGGGTCTTCACCAAATGTTGTACTTGAAGAAAGGGTATAATTCATTTTTAAAAAACTTGTCCAAATCATTGGTAATTCTGATCCCAAGTTGCCGTTACACTTGCATTCAGGGTTTCCAAACTACAAGCTGCATATTCTCCGCATACGGAAAACCACACATTTCTCTACGGTATTAAGAGGAGACTTTATGAGGTTCATAAAATTTAGCAGTGGATTTCATCCATATTTTTAACTTTACAAGCAACATTAGTCAATGCAGAGACACGCCGTTTTACGCACGGGCTTTCCACAGTCTTAAAAAATCTCGTAATTAGAGACACTAAAAGCCACATCATACCCTTCCTTCAAGCACAAATTTTAAGAATTAATTTTCTTCTAAGGAAGTAAAAGAATGAATTTTTTTACCCGTGTTTTCTCTGAAATATATTTTAATTTACAAGGGCATCTAAAATCAATGAGAAAAACTATACTAATTAAGTAGCCGTTTTTACATAGTGTAGTGTTCGAGGGTGTCCCGAAAGAATTTCGTTTGAAAGCTGGTGTGCCGAAGTAACTGAAATATCTTGAGATTATGCTGCATGTTAATTAAATTAATTAATTATTATAATTAATCTTTTCGAGTCGAAAGCCCATTTCAGAATCACGGTTAACACTCCATGAGTAAGCACACCTACTATATATCCCGTTCATCATCCCGAAAGAAGGCGAAGAATAAAAAGAGGCGATTTCATGGACCACGCTGTATTGGCACCAACCGCCTTTTTCTTCTTTTTGGAGTGATGAACGGGATAATTTACCTGGACCTCAAAGCTTCCCTTATGTTGATATATGCATGTGTATGTATATTGCTAGTAGAAGTGAAGATCCGCGTCCCTGCACATAAATGAGAAGAAAAGTCGACGATGGAAGCCTGTTTGATTTTGAAAGGTCAGAACAGTAAAAGTATGGTTCCCGAGGCCGGGCTCGTGGCCCAGTGGTTGGAGGCGTGGACTTCTAAGAGGTCGCGAGCTCGAGCCGCGGGTGTTCCACACTTCGGGGTTGGGTGCGACTGGCTGACGACGGCTAATAAGCCAGAAATGGCCATTTCAGTCTCCCTTGTCTTTGTCGGAAATAACATATTATATATATGTATATATATATGTGTGTATATAACGACGAAACAGATGAGAAGTGGGAGAGGACAGTCAAGCAGTAGTACAGTTGTACTGACTTCTTGCGCGGCATCCCAAATTACTCTCTTATGTCACTAGACAGTGTCCTAAAATGATTTTAAAAGACACGACATTAAAAGCAGAATTTGTATGTACAGCCTGAGCATGATCATAGAGTTGGCATACTTGTTTTGGTAAACTCCATGCGACGGGGTGTATATTCTGTTTTTTTGCGACAGGACTCACTGTCACTGATAGAAAAGCAGTAGACGCAGCCCGCTCTTCGAAAGATGCCAAACTGAATACTTGTTGCATAGAACTTAAAGGGTAACTGTGGGGCAAGGCGAGGTCTCCAACAATCTACACTAACCTGTGCTAGACGGATGCACTACCGTGCTCTTGAGCCAGACTTATCTTGTGCTACTAAGAAGTTCAGGTGGGCTCATCTGAAAAGAACGACCAAAAATAGGATGGAGTCTCCCCCGCACCCCCCACTAACAGCAATGGTATAGCCGGGGATGCAACAGAGAGTTAATCCGACTTCGAATGAGACGACTACGATGGGCCTAACTTTCGTTTTTCCCGTACCCGCACAGCGGCCAGTTTTCTATGATTGACACTTTGTGGCGCGTCCTTGCGTAACACATGGAACGACACACTAGTTGCATCCTATCCGCATGTTAAGCCATGGCGTTTCCTGCGTCCATGTTTGTGTGAGCGTTGCTATCGCACCATGCTCGTGTGACAAAACTGTCGGGACAGGACAAAGGCAACACAGTGGGGCAGTGAGTGAGTCACTCACTGGTAGGAGGGCGATGGCATCTAATGGCTAGCCCCGCCCGTTCGCGTGTGTGCGCAAGCCCAGACAAATCCTTTTGGCCAACGTAGGCAAAGGTGGGTTTTTTGCGGCTCAAAGGCGCATACTCTGTGCGTCGAGGAGGTATCCTCTCAGATGGCACCGAAATTGCGATGAAACTGGGGACTGGAATTACTGGCGCGATGGAATTGAAATAAACTGGAGCTCCTTGGCGAGCAGTGACTCATCTGCCGCGGTTGGTGCGAAGCCTAAACGACTCGACGCAGCACACGGACTGGCCGGACGGAGACACTGGCTACATTGTACAGAGGGAATACTCACAAATCTGCATTGTAAGTGGACCCACAACGATTTCAGCAAAGGACCTCGAGATATCAATTTAACTGAATAATTTCTGGGCTTATTCTGTTGAAATCTGTACGATTAGGGAAGTAAAGCCAGACGCTAAAGAGTGTCCAGCGGCGGCCTGGAGGAGTTGAGGGACGTGGGGTGACAGAGAAGGCACGATGGGGCGGGTGTGTGTGTGTGTGTGCTCGGGCTGTTGTTAGGAGCATATTAGAAGCCTAAAACTACTACGACGCGGTGCCTGGTCCGACTGATTCGCTAGAGGTGAACCAGCTCCCTAGATTATCGATTAGTAGTCATGCGTGTAGTAGAAGACACAGTAGTCGAGTGAAATCCAAGCAGTGCGCAGGATTGAGTATTTGCGTTTTTACTGGTTTTAACCTACTTTCTTTTTCTCGCCCGCTAAAGCGACCAAGCAGGGAGCCTGCCAGAGAAAAAGCGGAGGAGGGCGAGGAGCGTCGTTATGACGATGGCGAGGAAGAAGATGGCGATATGGAACCCATAATAAATAATGAAAAGGGGGACTGTGTCCAACAGTCGTTACGGATGCCGACAGTGTTAGAGACGGAAGGACCTCGGAGCGGCCAGCCGGACAGGCCCTCCCAGGTAAAGTTGCCGGTTTCCGTCCTCTCATTTTTTAACTTTGCTTTCTTCTACTGAGCGGCAGAAAAGTCTATTTATTTTAGAAAAATCGAACTTAAAATCTGCTGGGGTTACTAGTAAAAGCGGTACTATCATAACTGGTAAGGCTGCGGGGGAGGTCTCATTTACCGTTGCAGTAACCGCGACAGATGTTTGCCTAATAGGCGGTAGAATCAAACAACCTTGTTACCGGGGGCAACCGTGACATTGACATGTTGATGTCGATCACGAAGCAGACTGGAAAGGGCGTTTCTGGCTCGCTTGCCATCGTCAGTTAGCCATACTTGAGCCTCGGGCCGGATGGCCCAAAAGTTCACAGTTTGGTCTACTTACCCACGAAACCTAATGCTCTGTCAATGATCCATGGACGTGGTCTGGCCTATATTCGGGACTAAAAACGAACGCCCCGCTCTGGCCCACAAATCCGGTCTGGTACAGAACCTCGAAACTCAACCCAAAGGCTGGTGGAACAGATTCACCCATTAGGTAGGGACGCACCTGTAATTATAACACGTGGTACAGAACACTTTTGATAGGCTGAGAAGTTCCGGCTTCGTTCAGAAGTCCGGCCTAAACCACTGCAGTTAATGCCCCAAAATCCAACGGAAGGGAGATTAGTCTCCGTCCCACAGTTACTTACAAACCACTAATAATCTTATTTCCCCGGCTTTAGCCTTCGACGCTTTGAGCATCACGTATGCGCGTGTGTTTATGTGGGAAGGAATTAGGAAGCACGTTTTTGTCAAGCCGCATGCGAGGTTGATCTCACACAACGGGCTCGGATTCGATGGCACTAACCACGAAGACAGCGAGATCAAGAATTATGCTGCTGATGGTGAACTTTTGTCACGAGAAGCACCTCTTGATTAATCCTTTGTGTTGCCCGTTTGTTTGTCATCACAAAGCAGCCCACCAGACCGCTCAACACTAACATCAGCAACCAGGCGACGGCGGAACCGGAGGAGGAGGCGGCTGGGGGGACGGAGCGCCGGTCGACACTCCAGTGCCGTGAGCTAGAGGCCGTCATTGCGGAGTTGCGCGGCCAACTGGCAGAAGCGCGCCGTGACGCGGAGGAGGTGGAGCGTCGATCGACGGCGCGGTTGTCGGAATTGCGGGCCCAATTGGCCCAATCAGACGCAGCCAATCACAGCCTCCAGGCCTATCTCGCCTTCCTAAAGCGCTCCTACGCCAGCATCTTTGGTGGCAGCCCACCGCTCCTTGACTTGGATGAGGATGCTACTGTCGCCGCCGCCGCCGAAGTTGCTGCGGCTGATAGCCACCCACCAACGACGACAGTGATGGCCGAACCGGTCGCTGATGGGTGACCCGATTTTCCACTCTCCCCCCCTTGCCCGCCAAACACCTACCCCGGTGCCTTTTAGGAAATGATGAGATTGGCAGCACAAGCACCCACGTACATCAAACTTCTTCCACTAGTACCGACACGGATTTACGCCAGTGTAAAAAAAAACAAGAGGATATGTTGACATGATCTTCCCATATTCGCGTTCCTTGTCTTTTCTAAACGGAACTTCCACTGCCACTAATACCAATTATAGACAATTTTGTTTGTTTCTTATATAGGAGATGTTGAAATACACTAATCACAAGTCCGCTTCCTTTAATTTGAAGTTAACGGCATACTCATCAGGCGTTGGGAAGTAAAACGCACCCTAGCGGGTAGTCGAGAAACGTCGCATAATTTGTCTGCCGATAGGTGAGGGCAGTGTGGGGAGGGACGGTAGTGTTGTGCGCTCACCGCCTAGTGTCGTGTCCAAAAATGAAGTCGTACTGTTGACAGCTTGCCCGAGTCCCTGCCCACGCCCTGCAGACAGCGACCAGGCGTATAGGGAGTCCGGAAGGCAGTATTCATCTTGATGGATGGACAATCGCATCAAATGCCCAGCTTCATGAAGTGACCAACCTGCTCCGATCCCAACTGGTACTCAGCTGTCGTCGGTTGCTCCACAAATCTGTGCGCGGCGGCCACACCCTCGTAGCCGGCGTTTGTGTCCACCAAAGGTGGGAGTCCGAAGCCTGGTCTGAGTATGGGAGTGGGAATAGTTGTGTCGTGACACGCGTAGGCAGTGACTTTATGCCAAGCCAGTCACCACCTGTCCCGTAGGTGATTCTCTTGATGTGTCTTTTGCAGTGGGACACGATGGGTGGGGGGGAGTGGTGACGATGTCCTCGGAGCCTCTCCCTATAACCCAG